GTTATTCAGCCTCGCTAGAGAAGACTCTGGGGACACTTTATAGCAGCCTTTTAATACCTATAGGGAGCCTACAGGAAAGCTCAATAAGGACTTTTTACAAGGGCAAGTAGTGATAGGACAAGGGGGAATGGTTTTAAACTGAAATAGATTAGACATTAGGAAAGAGTTCTTCACTGTGAGGGTGGTGGGACACTGTAACAGGTTTCCCAGAGAAGCTGTGGATGTTCCACCCCTGCTGGTGCTCAAGTCCAGGTTGAATTGGGCTTTGAGCAACCTGGTCTAGTGGAAGGTGTCCCCTTTGTGGTTTGGAACTAGATGATCTTTAAGGTACCTTCAAACACTAAACATTCTATCATCCTATGAATTATTTAATGACCACTACCTGTTCTTGGATTAATGAGAAGGCACTGTCAGGGCACTTATGCCCCTTGTGTCCCAAAGTACAGGAATAGGTGGTGTCCTCACGTCTTAGAGAGAAAACTTGAACCTCAAAACCCTTTGAGATCAGCCCAGATCATGGCCATCCTGCCACACTATGGAAAAGGGCCCTCTAGCACTCTGTCTGCCTTAAAAGTCGTGCTTTCAGTTTGGAAAAGAACTTGAACTAAAACCACTGGAAAGCTATCCATAAAACACTGACTGTACATTACGTTTGTGATTGTTCCCACATCCCTCGTAATTCTCAACCACAGCTAGTGACTGTACTAGAGACTCGGTAAAGATGGTAGGCACTTTTCCTCTTGCTAGCAGTGGGATAGCAGGAATGTGAGTTTCCCTTTCAAGTCCAAATCAAAGTATCTACAAACAGTAAGACGGGAATGTGAGTTTTGAGGTTGTATCTTCCCTCAGAAAAACTAACTCTGAGGCTTGTCCCAATAAGGTTTATTCTTCTCACAAATTAGTTTGTATTGTTTTCCTTTCCTCTCCTCCATATAGGAAATATGCCTACAGCTATCTCACACTTTAATATGCTTGTCATGTACAGAAACATTTCAGACTCTTTGTACTCAGCCCTTCATTCCTCAGCCATGTGTTTTCAAGAACTGCAGCCTGTAGGATGACTTTAAAAATCAGTTATTTCATGTTGCAGCAATCCTGTATCGCAGAATTGCCTTGAGCTGCTTTTGCTTTCTCCTCATGCCGCACTGCAATAATGACCCTGTTTCTGTCTTCTTGCAGGGGTTTTGTTGACTTGTGGGGCAGCAGAAGTTACTCTGCAGTTTGCAGTGTGAGTGAGCAGCAAAACAGCTTGTGGAATTTCTGAATGCACCCTGGCTCCTGTGGTCACTTTCGATTCTCAGATTTGAAGTAAGATCATCCTCTTATTGTTCTTTTTAAATAACAATTGCTCTGGGTTTGCTATTTAAATAACAAATGCAAGTGTTCTTGCAAATGTTTGGCTTCCCACGGAAAGAGCTTCCCCTTTGTAATCTGCTCTTAAAAACTTGCCAAGTCATTCCCCGGGCAAGTTTCTGTTTCTGTTTCCACTTGCTTTTCTGATGCTGGGTTACGGTAAATCAGCAGTCTTGCATTGGTTTTTGTTTGTTTAGATTTTTCTTTGTGTGTTGGTTGGGTTTTTCTGGTTCTCCCCATGAACCCTGGTTTGAAAATGGGGCCAGAAGCAGGAGGCAGTGGAAAGCTGGGTGCATTTCCAGGGGTTGGCAGAACTAGGTCACTTTTGATCCCAGGTACAGGTATTTTAAATTTGATCAGATGGCTCTATGTTGCACTGTTGACTTCAGTGTAGACATCCACCCACTCTTTTGGGAAACCAACTGCACAATAGAATCAATCCTGTTATTTGATACACAGTGTTCCAGTTGAGAAAAAAATTGTGATGTATGCTAACCACTAGAGTTAATGGCAGTCTGGGTTCAGCCTTGCAGCTCTTGCAGAAGTAGAATATGACTCAAGGACTTTCTTTTTCAACTTTCCTCATTATACTGAGGTTGGGCAATTCCAGTGTGACGAAAGGAGAATGTTTCATTGTTATTTCACTGCCACAAATTTATGAGGTTTGGTACCTCTGTTTTAAGATCTGCTTAGTTCAGATCAGTTCTACAAATTGACCCACTGAAGCCCTGAGAGGTGGATAACCTTATTTTCTGGTGGCCAGATGCCTCACTCTGAGAGATGAAGGCAGAAGCTATGCAAAGCCAAAGGTCAAGTCAAGCACCAGCCAACATAACATACCTTTAAGCTACATTTATGCCTTCCTGGGTGGGACATGGCACAGGCCTGTCTATCAGGGCATGTGAGAGCATGGAGCTTTCCTTGCTTCCTGTCTTGGCTGTGCTTCTACTGAACTGCAAGCTAGGAACGATGGCAGAGCCTACACAACTGCCATGCTGCTTTTCTGAAAGGCAGATATTTTATTCTTTTACATATGTAGAGCCTGACTAGAACATGGTGGTGAGCAGCACACTGTTGCAGTATGTCAGATCTGTACACAGATAGAACAGACACAAGTAATTTATGCAGTGCTACGCCTTAGTCTGTTCAAAGGTGCGCAGGCCTGGTGAATGGCTATTAAAGCATTCAGCTATAGCAGCCTGAAGGATTTCCTTTGTAAAGCAGCACAGTGTGAGCATTTTGGCAGTATGCTAGAGGCAAGCTGATTGATTAGACACTTAGCAAGGTTAGAGGCAAGAGGCTCCAAAGTGGGATGGAAGGTTTTTCTGAATGCTTAGTATCTGTGTGGTGCTTGAGACCTGGGGAAGAGCTGTACAACTGTCGTGGTTTAAACCCAGTCAGGTAATTCGTTCGCTCACTTCCCCCCCCCTTTCTTGCCCTCCCCCTGCTCTCGGAGGGACGGAGAGGAGAATCAAAAGAATGCAACTCCCATGGGTTGAGATAAGAACAGTTTAGTAACTAAGGTATAACACAAATCACTACTGCTACCACCAGTGATAATAATGATAAAGGAAATAACAAGGGAAGAGAATACAACACCTCAGCACCAGCCGACCGATCACTCGCCCCCCCAAGCCCGACCAAGCTCCGACCGATACCTCCTCCAACCCTGCAGTCCCCCAGCCCTTCCGGCTAACTCCCAGTTACCTCCTGGGCATGACGTGCTGTGGTATGGAATACCTCTTTGGTCAGTTTGGGTCAGGTGTCCTGTCTCTGCTTCCTCCCGGCTTCCCCTCCTCCCTGGCAGAGCATGAGGCTCACAAAGTCCTTGGCCAAACCAAAACATCTCTATCAGTTCTGTTCCCAGGCCGAAAGTCAAAACACAGCACTGCACCAGCTACCAAGAAGAAGAAACATGACTGCTACTGCTGAACCCAGGACAACAACGTAAACTGAGTCTGAGCTTGGCAACAAAGCATGCCCTGTGCCCTTCAGATCTCTGACTGGTCAAGTCTATGAAAGGCTTAAAGATTTTGAAGCTAATCCAAGGCCTACCTTTCCTTCCAGGCTCCTGCTTAATGCCATACACAGATTTCCAGCTGGTGTTAAGGCGCACACACTGCCCTCCGAGGAACCTCACTCCTAGAAACATGACCTCTTGGAGTAATGCCTCATGGCTGTGGGTGCCCTGCATTGACCAGGGGTTGACTGCCAGCGCCCAGCACCCTGCTGCCAGACCTGCTCTCCCCTTTCCACATGCCTGGGGCTGGTGCCAGCGCTTGGACTACCCAGCAGGAGCACACTCTGGCTGGCACATGGGAGCAAGCCCAGGCAGCCCCCTCATGTTTTGTCTGAGTCTTAACTCAGCTGGAGATTCTCTCAATCTATGGAACTGATGTTGGAGCTAAAGAATAAAGAACCCCTGCCCTCTGCATGACCTGGAGAAATCCAGCCTTCCTACCGAGGTCTCCTCTGCTGCTGAAAGGCTTTGTAAGACTTTGCACAAATGGGTGTGTGATTGGGAAAGGCCTCGCTGCAAAGCAGCCAGCGCTGCTGGGTCTTTGCATGTGGGAGCATAGCCATCTGTGATGGAAGAAAGGTGAGGTGAGTTTTTGCTGGAGAGCGGTCTCCCTGTGATTTGCTAACCCGAGTAAAAGAAAACCTAAAAATGACATCTGTAGTGTGCATGAAAAGAAGGAAAGATGGAAGCCACGCACTATGTGGATTTTTTATTTAATGACAAAGACGTTTTCATTGTATCAATTCCTGCCTTAGAAGAGCTAGTGTTGCACATTTGCTTATGGAGACCTCATAGCTCCTGCAGGTTGCCTTCCAAGCTGCCTTCCAAACACCATGGTGCTGCTGTGCTGCTTCAGCTCCTGCTTCTTTGCAGGCTTTTAGCATTAAGAAAGGCTTGCAATCATTGCAGAGCATGAGGGACATAACTTTCACTTAGCACTGCAAGTTTTTACATGGAAAACTTGCACAGATATAAATACACACACATAAACAAAGCTCTGTATACACACGCACAGGTGCTTTTATACAAGGGAGAAAATCCATTTATAGTAGCCTAGAATTTAATTACCCAGCAACACCTTTTTAATTCAACACTATTCAAAATTCATCAGGTGTGTATTAGGTAATTGGTTGTTGTTCAAATATTCTTCATAGTATTTTTCATAGAATCTTAACACCAGAGATTTCACTTTGAAAAATGCAACATCCCATAAGTTTCATGTAAGCAAAACATTACATCACTTAGGTAACACAGGAGCATACCGTATCATCGTTTCTTGTTCCTATAGCTGGATGTGGGGAGTGAAGGCTATAAGATTTGCATGAAGAACAGTTTGAGAATGAGCTCTGAGGCCTTCCCATCCCCGCCCATCCCTGGGGCGATAAGCTGGGGCATGTAAGGCCAGAGGATGTGGGGATTGTGAGAGGGTCTGCAATACTGTGACTGGACTATTTACACGGAGAGTTTTACAGGGGCCAATGAGATTGAATGTTGTATTTATGTTCAGGTTGGGAAAGTACCGACCAAGGGGATAAAAAGGGCTTGGTGGTAATAAATGGGGATTTGAGTCTCTGCATCAGCTTGAGTTCGTATCGTGAAATGCCACAAGTTTCTACCTTCCTGCTCTTCTGAGTGTCACCATTGTAGAACTATCCCCCTTTACTCAGAGTTGGAAACAGCTGCCTGTAGTTTTCTCTCAATTTTATCAGCTACAGCACGCATCTTAAGGTCTCTCAGGCTTCTTATCAGGGTTTCATAGGTTCCATTCATTCCATGTCTTTGAAGCCAGGCTCGAAAAAGATGGATCTTCTGTTCAAATGTATCACGATTATCATGAATAATCTCATCTATTTTAGTTTGTGGTACTTTGTGATAACGAACAAATTTCAGTACTTCTTTATATGTCATCTCTTCCATAATATCAGTAACATAGGTGCTCAAATCAACATCTAAAAACATAAAAGGAAATTAATGCTCTGGTAACTTGTATCTCACTGTTTTTTATCACCTGCACTCAGAGTTGATAATTTTTGTATCGACAACAAATGCAGTTTCAGGTATTCATGACCCAGACTATTTTAGATGTGATTTTTTTACAATATATAGCTTTTACATGTTCCTACCAAATGTTATGTAACACATTGCTTCCTACCACTTGAAATAGAATCTCAGTTTCCTTAGTAAGCTGTTCTGTCCTTCTCTATCATTAAAGTCTGGTCATCCTTCATGTACTTGTTTTCATCAAAAGAGTGTTGGGAAAGGTCCTGGAACAAGACAGGTCTTTTGCTGTGATACAGCCTTGGAGCTTACGCTCTTTTCCTACTGTGTGTTGCTAGTATGGATTTGCCCTTGAACATAAGGTAGGTTTGTGTGTCTGTGATCCCACCTCTGTGTGTGGGATTACTCCCTTATAATTATCCATGATTCTAGAAATTCTGCCTCCTAGTTTCTGTATCCAGTGCAGAATAGAACTTCAGCTGTTGTCAAATAGTAATTGCAATTGCTTCCTCTAAAAAGAAATTTCTCCTGAGGCAAAACTTTCATGATACCAGCTAAATGCTTGAATAAGCACAATATGAACTGGCATTTCTTCACGAAGTGTTCACTGTTGCACTAGAATGACAGTTCCAGTCAGCTGCAAAGTCTACACAAAAATACCCTTTTTCTGAGTGTAGTATTTGCATGTCTCTACTTTTCTTCTTCTACTGAATTTTGAGAAATTACTTGTCTCTTACCTTGTCTGAGAGGTACAATCTCCTGAAAAGAGAAGCAAGAGAGCAATGAGTAGAAACAAGCTTTGTAAAATATTGACCTTTTATGAGAGGATAAACACATTTCATGACACATGATTTCTGTAATTTTCTTTTAGTTTTCTCCATGATTCCCCTGTATGAGGGGTGAGGGAATGAGATTGGACAGACAGACCTCTTCTGACCTGGGTGAGCTTGAGGAATCACCTCACAATCGCTATTGCCTAGAAGTATGCACTGGGACAGGTAACCTGGGGTACTGGAGGCCTGATGATTTATGAAGTTTTGACCTTGGTCATGTAACATAGGGAGTATGTTAACAAATACTGCAGAAATAATCCAGGGTTTCTCTCACTTCTCCACAAGAGTCCTCATGGTAAAATTTGCTTCAAAAATGTCATGAGAGAGAGGAATGTGCATGTTTGTGGAATCCCACTGTAATTTAAATGGAACAGAGTTTCTTGCATGAAGCTGTTTTTGTGATCTAAGCAACAATACTTACATCAGAAATGGATGGTTGGGGGAATTCATGGGGCCTTTTCCTTGTATTAAACCACTTCCGTCTTACGCAGTCTGAAACAAATAAGCATTTTTAAAATCCAGGACAGAGTATATCTCTCCTCTGGATGCCAAGAATATAAAACTACATCTGAGTAAGCAGCTGAACATCTTATTCAGAGTATGATAGGTATAAGGACTAGGAAATCACTTACACGCTATTCCTCCAACTGCTAGAAGTAGTAACAGAATTGCCAAAAGTATGGCCCACCATGGTGTTCTTGTTTCTGCTGGAACATTGGAAACATTACCTGAGAGTTAAGTCAAGAAATGCAGTACAGCAACATTCTCTAAACTTAAAACAAGCTTGCGTCAGATTATAAAAGTGTTTCTGTTGTCTCCTAATGGCAGAAGCTACCTCTTTGTTAAAGTCTTACCTATCATGAGTCACCCCTGAAAAGGAGTAATCGCTCCTACATCTGTACGGTGATCAAGGTCAAAGAGCAATCATGCTTCACAGGTCAGTATAGGGTCCGGTAGATATAATGCTCTTAACTTTCAGGAATCGCTAGGAGCCATTGTGTAAAACAGTACAATTCAAAATACAACTCTCAAAATAGAGCAGATGCTAGACTATGCTAAGTTTTAAAATTGTACCTTTCAGTCCGCACACAGTGTCTGAAGTTGAAGTACATTGTTTTTCAATTACACCGCTTTCACATCTGCAGAAGACATGAACAAGAATTATTATGGGATTTGTATCTCTGTTCAGCAACACTCAAGAGAGCAAATCAAAATCTTCTAACACTTTTTATCAGTTAAATATTTCATATGTGAAGATTTTTTGAGTTTGTAATTTAATAGGTATGAAAATGGTATGGAAAGGTATGGGGGTGGAAAAAGGTGTGGAAATTATTTTCTAGATGTAACAACAGTAGATCACACTAAGACAACAGAAAAGCTGAGAAACTTTGTTATATTTTTTAAGATGTATATACAGACTTGGTGGATGTATACAAGTTCTTCTGCATGCCTTTGGAAAGCCTGCATGGACACAAGTTGAGTGAGCTAAGTCAACTCAACAAGCTAAGTGTGGAGGGAAACTAATGTTTTCCCTCAGCTTATATGTTGATTTATCCTCTGTCTTTCAACATGTGTGACAACATAGAATATTAGCAATTTTATATGAAATGATGAAGGCATAAACTTACATGGTACACGGATCGCAATGCGTACATGGTACAGAAGAATTGCAAAAATGGTTCTTTGCACAGGTGCATTTTGTGTTCTGTGCCTGGCTACAGTTCTTTGCAACCTCCAAACCTAAAATATATTTCTTAAAGTTTGTTAGTTTGAAAAAGCAGGTCTTAAGAGCAGGCCTCTGCTCACAAGTTCTTGCCCTCCCATTCGGATGCCTTTAGCTCTATCACTGCTAGCACAAGTGAGGCTTAATTGCAAGAACAGCATAACTGGAAATACGAAGATGGCAAAGAGACCTCTGCTGGCCAAGAGCTCAAAAAACTGAGCTCAGGGTAAAGTACTTCCTAAAAGAGGACTCATCTTGCACTGCCAAATATTGTCAGCTGCTTTTTCCCATTCGGAAGTGTAAAGCCAAAAGGAAACTCAGATCACACAGCCCATCTCCCTGCTTGATGTCAGAAACAGGTTCTTTACTCTCCCTGGCAGACAACAAGTTTTATCTCTTCGTGAGGACCTTCAAAGTGTGTGAGGAATTCCATTCTCTTTAGCTAACATATTCCCAACTCCAGTATCAAAAGAAATGTGTTTATTTTCTCCTACCATCAGTGTAGCTATCTCCATCTATGAAATATTACTTCTGCACTGAATATCACTGTAGTAGGAAAACTGATTTCATAGTCATATAGGAATAAAAGTGAAGTTTTGAATTGTTATAATCACTGCCCTGCTGTAACAGGATACCAGGTTATCTTTCAAATTTGATGAACCTCTACTGTAAAACCAGTGCTGAAGCCATTCATGGAAATCTCAAACATGAACAATACTAAGAATAGTTCTCATGGAACTTCAGTGGCAGTTTTCCTCCTGCCTGGTGTTTTCTACTGACTTCTACTACATTGCTGCCCGTGGTATTATATGACTAGTAATCCCATTAGTCACACTTTTTTTTTCCCCTTCAGTTTAACAAATAGTTTCCTTTGTGGCTCTGCTCAAAATATCAAATTGCCCTGCTGTACTCCATTTCATTACCCATCTAGAAATGCTTATTATAGTAGCTAATGAAAAGAGCTACCTCTCCATTCACAAAACTTGATTTTCAATATGAGGAATGCAGAATCAGCATTCCTTAAATCCAAGTACAGTAGAACTACAGGACAGTTGGTAGAACTGATAGGAGATCAGGTTAATCAATTGAAAAAACAATGGGAAAAAAAAAAAGTGTGGTGGATATTTATGAAACAGGTCATGAATTTCTGGAACCTGGTGCCCCCTAACAGGTTCATGCACAAATGGTTCAGAGATAGATTCTAAAATTACTAGGTAGGGATGGACCTTCTAACGTTCTTTCCCACAGCTGTGGATGCTAGTAGACTTAGCGGGGAATAGACCTCAGAAACTGTACAGGTTTCTTCATGTTTTCTGAAAACAGCATCTGCTGAACTCAGAATACTGGGGTAGATGGACCCCTGGTCTGACCCAGTAGGGCATGCCTCATAGTCTCCTAATTTGAACCTATATCCCACACAGCATCTTGAACTTATAAAAGTCATCACTCTATTAGCTCCAGCAATTTGAAATAATATTACTAATTACATAAATGACTATGGAGGAAACCATTGGGAAATCTTCCACCCCTGCTTTTACAACACCCCTCTTCTTTTAAATAAAGGAAAAAGAAGAGTGAGAACTTTTCTTCCAGAATTCTAACCAGTTTGTATTGATTCTGCTTTGGGTGAGCAAAGGTACATATAAGAAAAAAAAACAGACCAACATAGCTTGTTCTTTTTGCTACTTTGTGCTTGATGAAAGGGAACTGGAGAATAAACTTACGACTTAAACATGAATTCCTGCATGTACTACCACTAAAACACTCAAACACATGCTTGCTATTCACTATTCAGGGACTGTGGAAATTTTTCAGTCAAATGCTGTATCAATGAAAGGCATTGCTACAATAGCTATTTCTATAGACATACCAAATATGCTGTCACATGAAGCGCACCTCAAACACTTGGCCAGATCATTGACATGATCTATGTACTCCTTTCCATTTTCACACGGAACACAGTGTTTGCTAGTATCTGTTGGGCAGCTGACATTTTTAACAAAACCTGTAGAGAGAAAACAAGAATTAGGATTTGCAATATCTTTGGACAGAAGTCATTAGCTTTAAGACCTATGTCAGCCTTTCTTTCTAATCCCTAATACTTTCTGAGTTATAAATATGGACAGAATCTATATTCTTTACGCATATGTTTATGCTCTTCAGGAATGTAGCATACACAAGATCTGACTATCCCCCTTCTCCCTCCAATTTAGGACACACCAAACAAAACTGTATATTTGAAATTGGAAAATCCATGAATATATGGGGTCTTGTAGGCAAAAGCCTGTGCTTGCAATTTTTTAACCTCTTTCAAAGATGTGTATATAATTCTTCACTCTTTTGTGACAAGCATGTTTTGTGAGAACTATCATCTGTAGTAAAAAGTCACTGGTTCACTCAGCTCAAGAAATACTTTTGAAGTGTCTCATGCCCTCTAGTAGAGAAAGATACAGCTAGAATGGAGCATTACCTCCAGAAAACCACAGCACGCCGCTTAGCTATCCCGACGGAAAGCAATTGCGCGTGTTATTTTTCCACTCTTAATGACTTTTCAACAGTCTTATAATGATACTCACCACGTTCACATTTCTTGCAACACTGAACACCCAGACTGTATTCGTCCCAGTTGCAATTAATTTCCCTCTTAGCAATGATCCTCTTTGTAATTAATTTATTGTATGTTATATGCATTATAGCTTCAGTCTCATTTTTGCACTGTGTTTCAATAATTAAGGCCACCACCTGGGAGAGAAGAACAACAAGTTACATAAAAAAGTCTGTCAAGGATCATAGGTGTGTTTTACTACTGGCACAGTTATATCAGTACTATTACTCTATTGCTAAACATATTGATGATATTTACCCCTTTATTAAAGGTACTCATTACTCCAGAAGAGATAGTGGACAATAAGGACACAGATTTAATGCTATGAACACTCCCACTACAGGTACTGATTGAACATTAATGCTTAAGGACAAGCCCATACATGGGGTTGTTATAACAGATGATCATATGATTAATTATAGTTCAAAGCAGTCCTTGACTTGAAGAGTTTGAAGTCTTAACATCTAAGATGAGCTCTACATTCACTGCTCTTGCTCCTCTTTAGTTGAATGAAAAAGCGTTTTGTATTTTACAAGACTCATATACACACCAGCAGGGATACTGAAGGAGGGGGGGAAATGATGCCTGGGAAGAAACAGAGCCATGCTACTGTCCTTGGCAAAATGGCAAAATAGCCCAAGCTGTGAAGGACAGGAGTGGCAGGGTACATTTTTTGCAAAGGAGATTAGTGGGGGATGAGGTGCAATACAAAGATTCAAAATCCTTATACCAAAGGTGCACTGCATTGACTAGAAATCCCACTGATCACAGATTCACTCACATTTTTAATCAGCAAAACTTTGACTGGACTAATTTATTTTTAATCTTGTCTTGGCTATTTGAAAGAGGTTAAATCTGAATAGCTGGTTATCTTTGAACACTTTTGAATTGCAGCTTAATACAAATTTGACCATATCTGTTACTGCTAACAGTAAGAGACGTATATATTCAAAGATTTCTCTTTGAATCTGGTGATATTTAATGGCTGATTAACTTCATCATCATCATTTTGCTTGAAACTGCTTGGATGCCAACCGTAACTTTAGTTAGAGGCAGAAAACTCTTTAATTGTCTTAAACACTAACTTACTGAAAATGGGCTTGGACTTCAAACTGGGCTCTCAAGTGAAGGAAGTGTTATCTGTGACTAATTAAGTGAAGTTACCAGTATGACCACTGTCTGCTGACTTCTACATTTAGCCACTTATTTTGATCCCTTGATCTATTCAGAAATTAGAAGTTGAAAAGCATTTTCTTTTCCTTAGCAGCCACCTGTTTTAAAATGTATTTATTGTTAATTCCTAGGCTAAAGTGAGGAAGACTTTCTTTGCACCTGAAGGAGTAGCGCTATAAAGCAGTATAGCACTTGAGAAACTGTGGGTACGGATGCTCAGCCTGTCACTTCCTCCATTGTGGGTATGGATGCTCAGCCTGTCACTTCCCCCATTCCGTGCTCTGACTCTCTTCCTGCCAAAGCTTTGAGGGTGCTCTTCTTGGAATCCCAGTGAAATGATGCTAAAAGGTCAAAGTTAATGTAAGGCCTTAATAAAAACTGGTAAATGGGTGTGTCAAATTAATGTGATTTGTTTCCTTTTGCCTTGGAGAAACATGTCTCTAAAAACTGGGGTAGATTAAAAGATAATTACTAAAATGCCTCACCTGCCTACAAAGCCACACCTGGCAATGCTCTGCACCCACAGGACACCCCGAATTCCTGCTTTCAGTACCCAAATCTCCACTTTTTGGAACAGAGAAGTCAAGCCTTTTTGCAGGAGGGTCAGGGGAGAAGAACCCTGGGCAACAGCAAAGAGAAAAGGGAGAGTGAAGATTATCACAAACATAACTACAGACAGTACCTGGGCACAAAAGAGAAACTGAAGGACACTGGCAAAGCACAGAGCATGCACAAAGAAAGCAACATCTAGTGTCATGCAGAAAATGTGATATAATGAAAGAAGGAAACATCTTTCTAAATTACTAATATCAGTAAAACTTAGCTGATTTTGGGGGATGTGTTTACTGACTGCCTTCAATCACAGTAAGTGCACAGACATAGCCTTCCTGATGCAAACATACCTCTCCACCACCTGCTTACACCTTTATATAAACAAGCTACACTGATACAATGCAGGGGGACAGAAATGCAATAATTTTTGATGGAAGCCCTTTGCTGTTGCTCATGGAGATGGACTTCCTGGTACACTTACAAGAAGTAGGGATCACTTCTCAGAACTAGACTTTTCAGCAGCACCAAACACCTACACTGGCTAAAAGCAATCCAGTTACTATATAAAAATTTGGGCATGTCTTACAGGAAAAAAGAAGTCAACAGTCATTTAGCTTTCTGCATGCATCTCAATTGCTTTCCTTTTTGCCACTGAGCAGCAGCTTCCCTTCCTCTGCCAATAGTGGAAAGGAAGCACTTCAGGGGCTTTTACACAGGCGGGGTGATAGGTGCTTTTTCACAATATGTACATTCAAACAGCAGCTGTTTTCAGCCTAAAATGATTCACAAAGGCTCTCTTCTACCTTTCTCATCTTAACCTAAAATATAGTTGTCATAATTAAACTGAAAACTTAGACTGAACTAAGCAGTAAATGGGAATAAAATAAACCAATCAGGGATATATATAAGCTTAGCAGAACCCATAAGAATTATGATGTGCCCAAATTTTCTTGTTTTTCTCCTTTTGCATTGCCTGGGCATTAAGAGACCTCTCCTTCATTCCTACAGAGTCCTCCAAAATTCTTTCACCAACAGGCCCCTAAGGAGACTAATAAAATCTGTTTTCATCTGTGTTCCCAGGGCAGAATGACAGGAACTTCAGTTTCTTCAAATCCTTGTGTGATTTTGAGATTTGCAGGCCTTCAATTCTTCCTATGTCAGAGTATTCTTCATAAAGGTCAACTTCCTTCAACTGAAAAATCTCATTATGGGTTTGTAATCTCAGCTCTGGTGTGTGAACATGTCATTTGCATATAAGACTTGTGAAAGCTTTACAACTTTTAACCCTGGGGGAAAAAAAATTGTCTCTGCTTTCTCCTGTTGTCTTTATAACACATTTTATTTTTGGCAAGTGAGTTCTCCCATCTCTAATCCATAGATGCCTATGGATGAGAAGGCCAATGCCTTCAGAGGTTGCTGGCCCAGTTTTTCACTCCACATTTGTTACATGGGGCAATATGCATGAGCTCATCAGGGGCTTTCTGAGTGTTAAAAAAAGCTGGGGGAGAGGGGCTTTTTCTTTCTTTTTTTGTGTAGTGGAAGCTGAGGGAAATCGAACTCATTTTCTGAAGTTTGACTTTCTTCTGGTACTTTTGACCAATAGTTGCTAGACTTAGCCCCATTTTAATACAGCTTTCTATGTAACTAGCCTCCATTGCACTAACCCTGTCAGGTTAACGCTTTTTCAAAGGCTTTTTCAAAGTGCAAGTAATTTCACACTGCCTGCTAAGAGGATTCTCTACCTTAGTTCTTTTACTCTGGTAACTTCTGCTTCCAAGGCAGAAGGTGGTAGTTAGCACCAAAATAACCAATAGAAATAGTAGGTTTTGTTCCAAAATCTTTTATGGTATTTCCCCATGACTAGAAGCATCCTGTGCTGCTAAAGTTTCAAGAGAGATGCATGTGCCTATGAGAGCAAAAAGCCTCAGTTACTGTCCAGTGTCTTAAAATAGTTGCTGTTCAAATTCAGTCCACTATTTCAGATCTTGTGTGACCCACCTGCAAATTACAGCAGCATATTGGGAGGAGGGGCTTGTATGGTTGGTCATTTTGTTTGATTGTTTGATTGTTTCGGGGTTTGGTTGTAGGAGTACTGTATTAGTAAACACCCATTAAATACTATGCAATTTTGGAGAGCTGGAGGAGTATTAACAGCTCCCACCTTGCTTTGGTGATGTTGTGACTAAGGATGAATAAAAGCTGGACAGCATAGAAATTTGGCAGCTCTTTCCCCTTTCCTTTTGTAGCACAATAGAGTTTTCTTGTTAGCACTTTCTCGCTGTTCAGTGAGTTGCCTTGAAGGTAAAGGCAGTTGATTATGGAAACATGAGCAAATAAACATTTCCAGAACTGAGGCCCTTATACTTTTCACTTGAATCTTGGGTCACCCCATGACTTCATGGCTATTTATATGTATAGCTTTAAATGTGTGATTAATTGTCTGGGAAATGAGAAAGAAGGGTCAGTGCAGTGATGTAGGAATCCTGTTTTCAAAGGTATGTCTTCTAAATTTCCAGAAAACTGCTGTTCCGTAGGCATTTCGGACAATTACAAGACATTTAAATAACACTTCACTCCCTCAAGATGGCCTGCTCCTTTGAGAATCTGTCTCTGAGCGCTATGTGGTTTTGCAGCTTTACAGGGTAAGGTTAGATGTTTTCTAACTACGTTGGCCATTGCTATTTTGCATGACTGTCCCTGCAACTGCTGCTACTTCATTGCAAAACTGAGGTCTCATCCAACAAACTTACGTTCTGGTTTAATCAAACTACTATGTCAAAAGCTGTTCAAGTTTACTGATTTAGAAGTAGTGGAACATCATGCTAATGAGAAAAAGAGAAAACAACCACCATTTTTTGTTTTAAATAGAAAGCATGGCAGGAGTGCTACAGTCTTTCTAAGGGGTGCTGGCATTTGGGAACAAATAGAAAATAAGAATAGAAATTATACTTATTCTCTGAGAGCCGTGTGATAAAGTATTTTTTCATCTTAATTTTTATTCTCGATAGTTCCAAGATACTACAAAGTATCTTTTTGTAGCGAGACTGACATTTCTGCCAGTTGTTTGCTGCTCCTGTACCAAAAGGATAGTACACACTTCTCAGCAAATTAAAATCCTTCTTTGTATTTAACTGTGCTCTAGTGTTTTGTGCAGAGGCAGGGATATAATCCTCTGAAACACTTTAAATAGTTTACTGCCTGTTATATAGAAAATCAGATCAGAATTTGAGTAGTTTTTATCTTAACATCTGATTTTAACCTGCCAAACCCCAAAGCATACTGCACTGTTAACAACATAACCACACTGTGAAGAGATTTTGAATGTGAACTCTAGTGACTTACCTCTGAAACAGGTGAGAACTGGGGCTGGGGAAGCCGCATAAATTGCATCCACACTTCCAGGCAGGTCACGGCTCTGCTATGCAGCAGGGTTTATTGTGACCTGCCTGATCCTGCTATCATGCCTTGAGCTCTCAGATATCCCATCTCGGGGCTCCTGGAGCAGGGCTGCCTCGGGGCAGGTCGGCAGAGCCAGTGCATCTGCCCCTGCCTGGATCTCCTGCCTGGAGCTTGCTGACACTACAGCCCTTTTGGCCTGATGCACCTGTACCAGTGCAGGTCTCTGTGCTGCAGAGACTGACACACTTCCTTACCTTCCTCGTCGATGGTAGCCCTTCTAAAGTGGTCATTTGCAAAAGTAAGTTTACTGGTGACAGATATGCTCTGAAGCTGCAAACACTCATACTCTGCATCCATACAGGATGACTAAAGCAACCAAGGAAGGCCCTGCCCCAGCACTTCCAGTAAATACCGTGTTTCATGCCACTGGACTTGGGACTATTTCTCTAGGTTTTTCTGGGTCACTGTCGGTATGGTTCAAATTCCCCTGCCACAGGTATTTGCTTTTCTGTTGCTTTACCAGATCAGTTTGCTACAGATCCCCTGAGGAAGCAGTGCAGGTCGGCTTCCACTCATGCGGAACTTTGCCCGGGTAGATACCCAGCCAGTGCTGCCTGTTCCTGGATGCCCGCTCCGCCAGTGCCTCCGGCAGAGTCCTCTCGCTGCTGTGGCACACGACCGGGGTCCCTGACACCCGCCTGCATCCATCCCCTTTCCCTTCCTCTTCCCGCCTCTTTCCACAATGCCTACCTCCCTTGCCCGGACACTCCAAGCAGTGACAGTGAAATCGTAACTGCCTGAACATGAAGGTGAGTTTCTTAAAGGAGTAGGAGGAACCGGCTGAAATCTCGACACAAACGATTGTCCAGGCCGGCGGCGATCAGGACCCCGGCAGCCCTCAGGGCACTGCTCCAGGCAGCGCGCCCGGCGGCAACCCTCGCCGTCCGCCCCGCCCGGTTCCCCGCCACCCGTGCCGCTCACCCGCTCGGGCAGGCACTTACAAGGAGCAGCGGAAGGAGTCCCCGGGCCACGCTGCCGCCGCCGTGCATCGTCCCGTACCCGGCAATGCGAAAGCGCTTCCCGGCACAACCGTCGTTAGCCTCCGCCCCGCCCACACTCGCCTCTTCCCAAGTTTGTAAACCCTGCGCTGGCCCGGCCTCTGGAGGAGCGCGGTAGCGGGCAGAGCTGCTCCTGCCATGGCTGCAGGGAGCAGATCCCGGGCAGAGGCTGCGCCCCCGAGTGTTCCTGAGGCATGGGACGGGAAGTTCATCCCGCGCAGCCCCTGCTCTCTGTGCTGAGCTCCCCTCTGAAAGCGGGCCACGGGCACGCCGGCGGCTTTTGGGTGTCGCGGGCACCGTGCGTTCCACGGGGATCTTAAGTCTTCGGGCTGTGTGGGGGTCGGGTGCACCCAGTCAGCAGCTTGTGAATGGCAGACATGGTCCTAAAGTCACGAAGCAAAATGCCAATAGACACTGGGCTGAACTTAAGATGCTTGATGTTCTTCAGCTGCTGGTAGAGCAGTTGCACCCCCACTTAGGGCAGGAACTCCACTTTTTCAGTATTGGGAAAGACGTGCTCAGGGAGGGAAGTCCTGAATCGCTAGGAGTGGAGCAGCCATTCAGAACAGGCTATAATTCATTGCAGCAGAATGTGCTGCCTTTGCTCTTCTTTTGAAAGGATTGCTCAAGCCTGTGACTTGTATTTTGCAGCTATTTCCAGTCGCTTGTGTTTTTCCTGCATGCTTTCAGGGTTTGCAATGCTGGTGGTAGTCTGGCCTTCGTAGTGTTAGAAATGACTTGATGGTGTCAGTTACTGGTATGTGTTTTGATCTTTCAGGTTTTGACATGATGCCTTTGCCTTGGGAAAACCATGGTTGCAGTTGAGCTGGCGTTTTCATTTTAAACACCATCTTTCAGTGGTTTGCGACTCATATTTTCAGATCTTCTGCTGGTATGGCTCTTAGTTGCCCTGCAGCTAAGCTGGGTTTGTAATATCATCAAGAAATAGCTGCTGTTTTAAATATTTCAGGCTTTTTAACCACTTCCGGATAAACAGAAATGTACTGCTGACACATTTTTAGAGGTACTGCCTTTGGAGTATCCTTCAACAACCAAATTTTTGCCTTCCAATGCCCCTATGGAGCATGACGAACAAGAGGCACCTCTCCTGGCGCAGTGCCTGTCTTGCACATCTCTTATTCCTATGGGAAAAACCCAAATCAGTGTGTAGCCAGGGCTGTTGATTTTAGCGGAAATTTGCGGGTGCGTAAGGGTGGAGCAGGGACTGCGAGCAATGTTGTCTGAATCTGGATGCCTGCTTCAGCAGAAAGCTCGGTACAGTTGTCTCCAAATTCCTCACCTGAGGCATTTTGCTTTGCCCTGAACCCAAAACCAATGTGACTGTGCCCTCAGCAGGCATCGCTTGTGTTCAGTAACACTTCAGTGTGCTTCTTGCCCTGATTATCTAATATCATCTGCTAACACAGGTAACATCTACTGGGCACGTGTGGTTTGCATTCTTTCCTGCCCCCCCGGAGGTGTGATGACTGCACGTGTTTTGCGGTGGAGTGTTTTTGTCTTGGCAGGGAGCTTTGAGAGACGTTTGAGAAGACACCGAGTTAGTGTGTGCATATGACTTGGAGTCATACCTCATGTAGTTAATAACTGTAGCTGTTTGGGATTTTTTTCCCCTACCTATATAATGGATACAAACCAAGAAACAACAGTGGAGAGGGTTTTTTTGTCATCTGACTGCCCTGAGCTGGTATTGGTGAGCCCTGTAATGCCAGTGTATTCATCTTTGCACTCTTCCTTGGGATGCAGCAACTTTTGTTTTGGCTGGTTAAAGTGGCAGCCTTGACTATGTTCTTGACTTACACTTCATCTAAAGCTCAATTCAGGTGTCAGTTGAGGAGTGCTGAGCAGCACAAGACATGGCGCTATTTTTCTTACCAGCAGATGGCCTTGCACATTTCCTAGTGTGCAAAGAGGGATCGGGACTGCTGCAGGATCAAAATCCAGGAACGCTTAACACACGGAAGACTGTCTTTTTAGTTCCGTTTGCAATTTCATCTTTAAACTTGTAAGGCTTTGGTATTAAAGTGGAGTGTTTTATATACTTACTGTTTTGATTTTGTGGTGGTTATTACTACTACTACCACTATTATTTATTATTATTATTACTGCTGCTGCTGCTTCTACTACTACTACTACTACTACTACTGTTGTTGTTGTTGTTTTATGTCCATGTGTGTGCACTGGTCATAGGAAATTCTGCAAAAGCACCCAAAGAATAATTTTGAGCACACATGATCGCAGTGTTCTGTCTTTGAGAGTTGCTGAGTTGGAATCTGTATTCAAGCCTTAACTGACCTCAGCCTTTTCTTCCCTCTCCAGAAGACTACCTGCACCTAGAGAAGCTGACTCTATCAGTGTTATGATATTATGAAATGCTAAGTTTTTGAGAAGGCTAACTTAACTAGTCTCTCCAGGTGAAGAAAAATTTGTCAAGGTGAAATACAATAAGATTGAGGGCCCAGAGGCCTGTGCACTGTATTGGTCTCATTTCAAAGTACAGATATCCAGAGGGATGGGGGGATAAATCTGACTTGATTTCTAGTACTTCTTTCTTTGATATAGTGTTATAAATTTTTAAAATTTAATTATACTGTGGTGTTTGGGTTGTGTTGTTTGGTTGGTTCTAATGTTTGGCTTAGATTTGTTTTGGCAGTACTTTTGTACTAAGATTGATCAATTAGATTAATGTAGTATAACTTAGCCAAAGTAGTTCCATCAAACTTAAAATTTCCTTTGACCTACGCATTAGGAGACTTAGACTGGGATACCTTAATATAATAAATGTAGGAGGTGCTGAATATGAGAAGAGTTATGAACTCCTCACTACAATTGCCTTCCTGATGGCTTTGCATTTTCTTGTCTGCTATATGTTGACTTATTCTTCTGTCTTTTAGTAGATAGTAAGTTTTCCTTAAAATGTGGATTCAAGGACACACTGTTGTACTTAGACAACTTGATTTGGCTGAGAAGGGAAGAAAATAGGAGTACCTGCTTTGGAAATACTTAAAATGAAACTTTTTGTTATGTGATTCATGTTTTGTAAATAACCTGAAATTTAAAGGGAAGAGGATAAAGCTCAAACACTTTATCAGACTCAAAGTACAGTCATTTTCTGTCTGTATTCTGGTTTATTTTGCTTTTCTGTTTTGCCTCTCCCCTTTGCTCATGTATGCTCAGAACAACTTAATTTTAACTTTTGGTTCAAGTACTAGGCTGAGTAATCCATTACTCACACAGCCCTATCACATTTCCTTCACCTTTGGTTTAGACCTTTCGGTTTCGTTCTGTGAGGCTCCTGACAAGCATTGGATTACTTTGCTGGGAAATGATCAGAGTGGCACCAGTCCTTAACCCAGCTCTTGCTGAGTACCGTTTTATGTTGGAATGTTTTGCCTTTTGTTTTCCAGATCTTTCGTGAGACTTTAAAGAGGTGACCTTCCTCCACCCACTAGCTGCACCCCTTTCTCTGTGGTCTGTAACCACGGTAACTACTGGCTGTTTAGCTGCAGTGAGATATGGCCAGATTCTGACAATTCGAGGTTACCATTCTCCCTTTCTAAGATACTACATATAACCACTGGATTTATGGTACAGTGAGAAGTTCTCGGTCAGATGATGTGGTAGAAAAGCACTGTGTAGGCCCAAACACCCTGTTCTGCAGGTGGAGAGGCTGGCTGATATGACAGCATAGAAGCAGGAAAGCAGTGTGTGACCAGAAAAGTTTGTGAACACGCTGTGGGTTTTGGGTTATTTTGTAACGTTGCTGCATGGTGTTACATCAAATCAGATCAGAGAGTTCTTGCAGCGTGTTCTTGTTAGAAGTAATAATGATCTGATACAGAATCATAGAATAGTTAGGGTTGGAAAGGACCTTAAGATCATCTAGTTGCAACCCCCCTGCCATGGGCAGAGGCACCTCACACTAAACCGTGTCACCCAAGGCTTTGTCCAACCTGGCCTTGAATACTGCCAGGGATAGAGCACTCACAACTTCCCTGGGCAACCCATTCCAGTGCCTCACCACCCTAACAGGAAAGAATTTCTTCCTTACATCCAATCTAAACTTCCCCTGTTTAAATTTTAACCTGTTACCCCTTGTCCTGTCACTACAGTTTCTAATGAGAAGTCCCTCCTCAGCATCCCTATTAGGTCCCCTTCAGACACTGGAAGGCTGCTATGAGGTCTCCACGCAAGCCTGTGGAGCCATAGATGCTAGAGTTTATCTAAAGAAAACCCACACTAGCAACAAAACAGAGTGCAAACACAACAAAACAGAGTGAAGCAAAACAGAGTGGAAACCAAGACTTGTAGCAAAGTCACTTGTCCTCTCTGGCAGTTCTTTGAAGAAGGTGATAAAGGGGAATTGGGAATGGTCCCTGTCACTCTAAAAGAAAGCTGAAACAAATGAGTGTCTTTTCTTTTGTAATTCAAGTCCTTGGCACACCCCTGGATCCATGATTTGTTCAGCAGATCCAGTTTGATGACGTCAATCCATTCTTCACAGCAGGAAAAATAAAAAAATAAAAAAAATTCAAACAAACTGAGCATTTCCTTACACTGGGCAAGCAAATTGGCTGAATGCCCGGTGGCTCCTGCAGCCAATCACTATAACGTTACCATAAATGTAGATGTGTTTCTAACTTAGGGTGGATTATTGACTTTATTTTAGCCATGGGACCATCCTGTCCCACTCCTCTGTGTATGCACTCTACCAGTGAGTGCTGAGATCCTGAACGTTGCATTATTTAGCAAATAGTTTGCACATCACATGGGTTCACTTAAAATTTGATTTTGTGACTTGATATATTGTAAATGCGTCTCTTTTAAGTGTTCTACAGAACTACAGCAGGCAGCCCCTTGCTTCAAAGGCTGGCTGGTGCTCTTTTCTCTTTTTTCAGGCTAATTGTTCTTAGTTGTTTTTTGAGGATGGTATTACTAATACTAAGATAATGCTTTATGCTTGCAAAGCTTGGCATACAGCGAGTGCTAACGGTCAAATGTGTAACAGATGAGCTGTAAAACTCTTGAAATAACGTACTAGGGAGGCTAGATGCTCTGGGGAGGTAAGTGTTCAAACCTTTCCTTTCAGACACTGCTTGCCCGCAGCACAGGTCATTTAGTCTGTGAGTAGTAGTACTTTTCTGCATTTGTGAGTGAAATCTAGGGCTGAATCCTTGTACTGAGAATGAGTGACAAAAGATCTATAGAGAAATATCTGGTGTTGAACGGTAAATGTGAGTGAACGGTCTTTAGTTCTGCTTTTAAACTTTGACCTGAAGATGGCAGTAACAGACATTCCAGATGTCTATTTCCGATGTTGAGTGGCACCCAAAACAACACCCTGCAAGGAAAGAAGTTTTCATAATAATTTTAAAGTTATCTAAGACAAATTTTATTAAAGGTGGTGGTGAGGAGGAGAAGATAAAGGAAACATTTTTAAAGATCTTAACATACCATGGTTGATCAGAATTTCAGAATTTCTGACACTGTAAGTAACATGTCTTTAGGGATGTAGTTCTACCAGTTTGCTTTGCTCTGTCATGCTCCTCTTTCTAATAAGTGAGACTAGCACACTTAGACAAAGCAGTGCCTTGTAGCTGAGACTTCAAACTCATTCTTTGGGGCAAATTGCTCAACCTTTGAAATTCTTTGAGGAGGGAGGGGAAGGGGAAGGGTAGGGACAGCGCTGTGAAAAAATTTATCCCTCCCACTAATGTCTCAGATGCAGTTCATCACCCTCTGAGACATCAGATGTTCTTCATAGCAAGAACAGGATGCAGTGATCTTGCTCTGAATGTTTGTCTCCTGGCCACTATTGTGCACTTCTAACAAGGGCCTGTGTTTCAGGTGGACGATCAAGGGTTAATTCTGGCAGAGAGGGGCTGTTGTGGTAAGAGCAAGGTGTGGAGGTGGTGGGGCTGTCACTGTTCCTTGTCTTCACCTACTCACCCACTTCTACCACACATCTGCGCAGACCAGAGGCCTGCATAGCTCATGCAGCTACAGGAGTGAGTCATATCTTCTCTGTTCAGCTGCACAGCCTGCTGCATAGTCAAGATTTTATAAGCATGAAGCAAATGAAATGAGTATGTTGTACAGAGTAATTTATATTTCTACCAAAATGCAGTTCATTATTTTCTGTTGGTGGTTCTCATCAGCAATTAAATGATGGGTTAGAAAGCTTTGTGTCTCCAGGGGTGGTCGTAACAAGAAGGGATACACTGATATTTGATGCCTAAAGCCGTGTGTTAACTTCCCAGATAAGACGTTAGTGATGTTTTTCAGCTGAATCATTTCTCAAATACTTCTTGGAAGCCAAGTATTTCGGAAGAGGCATCCTTTCCGCACTTCAGGGTAGCTGCCTCTTTTTCTGTCAGCCAACTCACACACAGGAATGGGAGACTGGATGGGGTACTGCAGAGAGATGAACAGCAAAACATATGCTTCTGGTTCCCTGGGATAGGCAAGAGAGTCTGGTGCCAGTGCAGGCCACAGCTTTAACAGCCAAAGGTTTCCCATGCATTTCCCCCAGCTTGGGGATACTCAGAAATCCCCTGTCTAAAGGTAGCCTGCTGAGAGGAGAGTAGCTCCTCAGTTTAATGTGAGAAATGGAGAAAGACTCACATTCCTTTGCTATAACAGTGTAAGGAAATTGTCTTGCCTTCTTGAAGTAGAGTTTTTGGACCAAATTGTCAGCTTTCATTGAATTACTTAAGTGAGACATGGTTTGACTTAAGATTGATGGTAATTTTGATGTTGTCTTTACTGAAGCTGAAACTTCACAACACGTACATAAAGTACATTATATCAGTAACTAGGGGCTTCCCTCCCTCTGGGAGGCAGGGCTATCTGCCAACCTCCTTGTCCATCAGCCCCTCCAAGGGGCAGCCTGGTCTGCCCTGCACTTGCTTTGTGGCAGCAGCCTGGAGCACCTTGGCTTGGTGCAGTGAAGGGTTGTTGCTACATGGAGCTTGTTCCTTGCTCTCCCAGATACTGTTCCGTTACTCCTGAGTGACTTGGTAAAAAACCTGCATGTTTTCTTTTCAGGGCGCATACCTGAAAACCAGGATCTGACAAAAACAAATCTATAGAAGAATAACTATACATTTTTAAAGCCAAGGTAATGAGGAAGTTTAGCTCTCATGAAAACAGTAGTTTGTATTGTGTAAGCAGAAAAAAGAAAACAAATGTCAGCCCTTTTCCCCAAGTGTGGTTGTGCCCCCAGCCCATTTTTCTGGGAAGGCCTGGCCATTTGCAGTGCAAATGGCAGTAAGTTTTTAACAATATGAAATACTACAGCAACACTACTTTGTTGAAATGAGATGCAGAAAAGGGGACGTGTTTATGCTGAAGACCTGCTAATTACATCATTTTCATCTTCTATTAAACAATGTGTTCATGCTGTGTAACACAGATTAATCAGTGTGCAGAGGAAAGATTTATAGTACGCTGAAGGGGTCTGAGCGTTTGGCTTTGTAAATGAATTCTCAGAGACAGCTAAATACAATGCAGTAAGTAACAGGCTGTAATTAGGAAGCTGAAATTGTTATATGTATTTCTGGTATCCTGATGTGGAAACTATCCAGGCTTTTTCAAGATCCTTGGGTAACAGTGTTTTGCAGCCATGAAAGGAGTTACTATGTCTATTTAAAAAAGTTCCTAGTGAGGAACTGAAAGACAGAGAAACCTGGGAAGCACTTAAAGGACTGACAACGTGGTAGGAACCATAATTCTGAGACAGAGATATACAAAACCTCGTCTTTTATTTATTGTTACTGACTTGCAAGAAGAACAGAAAATAAATCAGTAAGCTTTAACATGTTCTGCATGTAGGTACTTGGGATATTCTTGAAATCCTGAAAACTGTAGTGAAACCAGGCAGATGCTTGCCTTCCACCGATGGAATGGAGAGCTGCATTCAGGAAAAGCTGTATCTGTTCTGGCCCCTATGGGCGCACTGTATGTGTGTGTGTGTATGCAATACAGGACATTAACTGGTTAAGAAATGGATCAAAGAGCAGTTTAGGTTGGAGAAATCTCCAGCTGGGCTATAGGCTGAGTAGACCTGAGTCCTGACAGTTTTCACCCTGCACAAGGCCAGTGGTACAATTGGTGTTGAAATGGGCTGGAATGAACAAAAGCTTTGCAGAATTATGTGTTTTTCCTTATTTCTGAAGGATGGTTATGTTTGTTTCAGAAGTTTGTTTCTAAGTCTCTTTTACACTCATAAAAGGAAAAGAACAAAACATTGTTCTTTGGTCTGATAGGGAATTTGGGTAAATGGTTAAAGGTGGGCATGTAAAACACATTTGGTGGAAGGGAAAAAAAAACCCCTACATTTAGCTGGAAAATGCTGCTACACTTTCAGCAAACCAACAAAATTATTAAACAGAAACAACATCTTATCTGTACTTTCCCATAGTTCTTATGACTGTCTGTAAGAAAGAGAAGGAAGAAACTACCTTACATAACTAAGATGCGTTTTCAAAGCAAATGCAAAGAGCCTGCCTGCTTCAGTCTTCTTGTGAGACTTGAGCATTGTCTGGGGAGAGGTATGTAAGCTGAACATGCTAGAGAATGAGTAATAGCTATGTGCTCAGTTCCTTCTGGTTAAGTGACCTGCCTTGGTCAGCTGTCAGTCTCCTGGAGCACCACGGCAGGTACAAGGAGTGTCTTACAGGCCCGAGCAGCAGTCAGGATGTGCGCAAGAAGGCGACAGAGGCAGGTTGGCACTGCAGACAGGGCAGAGGAGAGCACCAGAGAAGTCACATCCTTTCTGCAGCCTGCAGTGAGTCAGGCGCCACTTTGCTGGCTGTTTGTCTGTGCCTTTTTTCCATCAACCACAATAATGTTCATCAAAAGTGTGATGGATGGGGGTAGGGATCCTTTTGCACAGGCTGGAGATGCTAAGAGTTTTCTCAAGGCTTCATATTATAAACAGGATTCTGCTGGAGAGGACTCTGTTTTATCATAGATCTATAAGGTAGGTTGTAGCAAGTTATAAAAACACATACACTTTATCTGTAACGTTTATCTGTAACTCATGATATTGTTCAGATCACTGATAAAGGCATGAATGTGCATAGCCAACGATGGGTAGGGAAGGTCCCACAGAATCACACCCGCTCAGCAAAGACTTCCCTGTGCTGCTGTGCTGTGAGACTTCAGCTAGACACTTCTCATGCTGCTCTGCATAAGTCGATTCTGCATTTGCTTTATTTTTAATTAGCTCATGGTTTAGAAAGTAAGTCTTTAGAGGGCTGTTACAACTATGTTTGTAATACTTCTCATATAAATTTTGTTAAGAATTCATTTTTATAAAGCCTTATTCATCAGCATTTGTTACATGATCTTTTATTTTTTATTATTTGGATTCTGTATTGGCAGCTGTGATAGTTTAACTTTGAGTGGTGTGCTCATCTGGCAAGTTTGTAATTAGCTACTTCTTGCCATTACGTGCTTGAAATTTTTGCTTAACTGCCTTTCTCTATGTTCTGGGAAAACCCCTTAAGCATTTTTAAGGACTAATGAAAATAAGTGTTAAGTGTCCTTCAGGAAATTTGGCCTGTTCTGTGGAACACCTGGATGAATGCAGGCTATCTGAATCTGCTGCACTGTGCATGCCCAACTTTACTGCTGGCTCTTTTAGCACCCTCCTGCATGGAGTTAAAATAGAAATACCCAAACTGTTTTGCAGTCATTTGAATTGACATCTGACTTTTTCCTGGTACAGAAAATGCACGAGTTAAATATGTTTGCATTTGCCATGTTATTTTTGACAATTCCATATAACAGCATATATCCTCATAGAACTGCATGCCGGTCCCAAAAGTACATTTCCCTTTTACCATAACGTCCTTCTAAAAGTATGTGTTCACCTTAGTCACACAGGTTGTGGATTTCCCCTTGTATTTTTTGTACGTTCTTTAGTTTATTGCCACATAATGTTCATTCCTTCACTGTGATAGGGTGGTTCTCATGTAGGTTCAAAAAAAGAGCTCAGCCGTGCTCTCAAGCGGTGTTTGTTTATAGGTTGTGCTGAGTGGCTCGCACAGAAGATAAGGAAGTTGCAGCAGGGCCGTGTCTCCTTGTTCTGCCCAGCAGCGACACCTAACTGCTCTGCATCCACTGAGCCCAGGTGCTAAGAGAAAGGGTCTAGAGAGCAGGGATGGGCCATCTGGAGAGGCAGGTACCTCCTTGTTGATGTCTGTGGTTTGCCATCATCCAGAGCCCATGGACAAAGAAGCTGTGCTTGTCACAAAAATTGAAACTCTGGCACTACAGAAAATTATTAAATTTGATAGTGAAAGAAATTGCCCTGGAGAGGTCTTTTCCTCACTGCTGGTGGGCCAGCCAAAAGGGCTGATAGAGGCACTTGAGCTCGTGAAGCTGCTTGATACAACAAGGCATGCAGTCGACAGGTTTAATCTGTAAGTCATAACCTTATGACATCTGCTTCCGGCAAATTTCTCTGATGGGAATGATCTGATTTCTCTTAATGTGCAAGCTCATCTAGAAGCCTTTCTTTTGATGAGATAACAGCACAGCAACCACTTCCAAAAATGTGGTGGAAACTGTCTCCTCATTACTGTCAGTCTGGGAATATGTTGGCTGGGGAGCTTGGAAGTTATTGTGCAGGAAGGACCCCTGTGCTCTGCCTGCCCCAAGCACATGTTGCGTAGGTCTTAGGAGTACAGCAATATGGTGGAAGATTGCATTTACATTTTGACAACTTCAGAGCATGTTACTGAAAAGGTTTGGATAATTGTCTGGGGGAGCCTGTTCTCTCTTAGCCCTTAGGAGATATGCCAATGTAACATTATGCTGAAGCCTTGCAGTCTCATTTAGGGCAGATATGTCTGCATGACCTGTGAACAAGCTACTGAGGGGCTGCTAGGAGTTTACACAAAGTGGGACAGAGCTCAGTGGCTTCAGGGCTTATCCAGGATCTCTGGTGGACTTGCAGCTCTCGGTGTAACGACAGTGTTTCTTTGACTATGCTTCTGGTATATTTGATGTTTTGTTTCTAATATTAGGCATGTTTATGCCAGCTGGAGTGTGAGCTATGGATGCTGCCTTGCAGATAAAATGTAGAGCTTATTTCCACAAAAATAAAAGCAAAAAAAAAAAACAAACCAAAAAGGAGAGCACCCTGTGTCCAAAACCATGTGTTTAAATCAGGCAGATTTATAGAGGAAAAATCTGCCTGTATCTATTATGCAGGAAGATATAGGTACAAACTCCTGTCTCAAGAAATCCTTATGCTACGCACAAGGAAGCAGAAAGGGTATAGGAGGAACGTTATCACTACAAGTCCTATTTCTTTCCTAAGCATCTGTATCAGGAAATCTCAGAGACAGGATACTGAGCTAGATGGATATCAGCCTGACCCAGGGCTCATTCTTAGGTTCTATTTATTTATCTAAGAAGGACAAGGAAGGAGCCATTAGCTCATTTTTACTCTGAATATGCTCCTTTGATTTTGAATAAGGGATAACTTTACCACACTACCATGGAGGAAGGTACCTTGTCAAGAAGATGAAGGAATCTTGTGAATTAACATGCTTCAGCACCCTGCTCGAGAGGCCCAGGAGGCAAACACTGTATCCTGTAGCTCTTGAATAACACTGGCATAACTATTTTCCAAACTTTTTAGGTTGAAAACTTCCATCTTTGAGAATGATTAGTCATTTCTTTTTAGTTGTTAGGGAGAGACCAGTGTAAGAGCCTGACAATCATAGAGAAAACTAGTCTATGGTCCTGGCAGCTTATGGTTGATCTGACACTTTGCAGATACATACTGTGTGACAGCTGCAATAAATCAGGTTAGTAGAGGGACTTTCTGCTCCCTAAAGCTTATTTATTCCTGTCTTTCTCAAAATGGGCGGGTGGGGATGTGTAAAGCCTATCAATGAGATAGGGGAGAGGGCCTGAAGCCAGACAAACCAAAACATTTAGAGATTCTGCTAATGCTACGAAGATGAAAGGAATCCCCAAATAAAAAGAAGCCAGAGACATATTTAGCAGAGCCTCATTCCTCAACAGCCAATTGGATGTAGGCAGGAAGGTCTCCACGCACGTCTCAGAAGTTGTTTTCCCTTATAAAGTAATGGCTTGTAAT